ATATCAATTATCTATGGCATGCCACTGTCATGCTGCTTACCTGTACACAAATGGACAAAAGCATGAAACTGGAGAAATGTGCTCACAAATTCACACATGGAAAGTTTGCCCCTGTATTCAACACTGTAAAGATAAGACATAACAAACTTTAAGTTATTGTATACATCATTCCAAATGGCACTGTCTGTAAGACTCTTCTCTTCTCTTGAGAACATATATTAATAAATTTCAAATAATAAATTGAAATATTAAATTATATAATCTCCATTACACTGATGGTATACAGCAAAATCAAAATGAAAACAAAGGATCTGCTACTGAGTAACAAGCTCAAGGTAGTCCCCATTCTTTACTTACGAGTCCTTGATGAGTTTACTGTAGAACTTCTCCAGGTTAGTGGTGGCCACAGGGAATGGGTGCTTGACTGCTATACTGCGGATGTAGTAGAAGACAGTGCACAGTTTGTTTCCTTTGGCTGCTTCAAGTATGGCCAACTGGTTGTAAGGTTGACCTGGATTGCAAATATTGAAGAACAGATGAGAGAACTAAATATTTGGTAGAATCAGAAAGATGTATTATTTATACCAAGCTTACAATGGGGTTTTAAGGTATCCTTTTCAGTAATTTCCCTCCAAATCTAATTTTCCTTGGAAAAATATGACTGGCCAGTCATTTAGACCACCATGTCTTTCTGAACATTTCTGAAAGAAAAATCAAAATGAGGTACTTTTATTTAAGGGGTGTTATAAATGTTAAGCCAGAACTGGGAAAGTTGTCTCAGCTTTGCAACATATACAGACAAAAAAACATTGGACTTTGGGCCATTTTCAAATATGGTGAGCACATCTTTAATATGATGCATCCTGAACCGTTGGTTGACAATTTTAGAACACCACTTTACTATTATATAAATAAGTGGGGATTCATACTTTTGAGCTGCAAGCTCATAATTTAATGATTTCTAAAGAAGAGACTGCAAGCTGATTGTTTTATAAGTCATAAAGAAAAGAGTGAGAGTCACTGACCATTGGAAGGAACCAGGAATGCAGCATGTCTGTAGTACGTCTGTGCTTGCTCTATCTGCTGTAGGTAACGAGCTACAAAGAGAAGTGAACATTATACCCTCTTTCAATGTTTTGTTAGTAGTAATAATGATGTATGTCACCTTTCTTGCACTGGACAGATGAGATGATCACTATCATGTACTAATATCCGTTTTGAAATGAAGGTTTCAATGATTAGGGTCAAATACATCAATTCATAATAATTCATTCACATTCAAAAAGTACAAGATGGGATTATGGTTTGATAAATATATAAATGAATAAAAAATAAAACCTGCAATGAAAACATTTTAACACTGCATGTCTAAGTTTAGAACTTGCCTATATCTCCAAGATGCACCAGTATGTGCTGACAGATGTACAGACAGGAAGCTTTCTTAGGAGACTTGATTTTACCATAATAGGGATAACATTCTGAAACAAATTAACATACCAATCATAATACTTTCCTTTTAACACTTCAACCAATTCATTACTGTACAAAGATCTTGAATAGCTCCCAAAATAACATTAAAAGCTATACCATATAACAAAAAAAAACTTTCACAAACAGATTGGTTTTTAACTAAACTACTGATTTTTACATACTTAAGACAAACTTTATCATAACTAAAATTATAATGTACTACATGTGTAAGTCAAAGACAAGAAAATATGATATAACATCTGTATGCATTCAAATTTGTGGGAATATTTACATGGAAATATATCACACTTACCTTTTAATGCACCAAAGTGACTAGTTTTTCTTCGAAATGGCAAATCTAATTTAAAAGCACTGCTTAGTTCCTGCATGAGCTGAAACCAAAATTCTGAATTTTCACCTTCAACACTTACAAACATACAATCTCATAATGAAGCAATAGCACAGACTACAAAGACACGCCTACAAATGTTAAATCAGCTGACACTTTTTAACAAACTTAAGGAAACACAATTTCACTCACACATTTGGAAATTTGATGATTTAGAGCTGTGATAAGGCTTCCAATCTATCTGTCTACACCATACTAAAAAGAAATCGATGTACTTTTCACAGATAATGTATGACCTGTATTAGAGACCTGAATATAAATATAAATATGATGTGGGCTCTTACCTGTAAATAGAATCCACTGGCAGTCTCCAGGAATAGGTTCAGACTGGCCTGGATCTCTGCCCTGTTGGGGTTCTGGAATATCAAGAACAAATAAAATTTCAGGATTTATGCTCAAACAGAAGACAATGTGGTACATAACTTGCAGAATGCCCCCTTTATTCATGTAAGTCTGATTTTTTGTGCATTTTTCTAAATTCAATGATATCATCAATGCCTTTGCTATTGAAATAAATAAATTGCAACTCATTAATTGATTATTTTGGTCTTCACCTTGAATTGACCTCAGTTCTCTCCATCTAATCAAAGTCACAACACAACTGAATTTTAAGACAAAAGGAATCGATAATCAAACACTTTTAAGTTTTCGAGGCATGCTGAATAAGCATTTTTATTGTGACTTGGGACCCAGATATTGAGGGCATCTCATTAATGCTTATTGAATAAAATTACCTGTTTATCTTTGGTCTGGACCTGGAGACCATTGATTTGGTTCTTGAAAGCATAATTCCACCTGAAATAGCAGAACATTCTCTTAACAACATATATGAAGTGCTGTACATAACACAATTAAGTGGCCCACTTAAGAGGCTATAGTGTCGACTTATGAAAGTCAGCTTAAAACAAGAAAACTGTCAAGTTTTAAAGGAACCCACTCTTTGCCTCCTATAATGATGATGGCATTGATAACATTTTATTTCTTATAAGATCTTACAGCTATATTAAGCATTTTCTTCTCCCACCTAAAAACAACTGATTTCCACAATATCAAAAAGAAAATACGTAGGCCACAGACAATTACAGGCAAAAGAATTTTAACCAAATTATTTTGAAGATATAATTGGCTAACATAAAAAAAAAATACAAATTCTAGTGTGAGCCTTGTAAAATTTTATCTTAACCAAAGACTTACAAGTCCTGCTCCACTTTCTTGTCCAGGGAGTACTCAAGGTCAATCACTAGCAACTTTTGATATAAATCTTGGAGGTGTTGCCTAGCAACCCATGTCTCATGGCTATTACTGGAGGAATCTGAAGAGACACAAAAGTATTATTATAAAGTTAACCAAGCAATCATATGTTTCTACATTTTTGTTGTAAAGTTCAGAGCCTACATGAGCATCTTCACTAATTGCAAGTAATAACTAAAGAGGAATAAAATAATTAAAAGAATAGGGTGTTATTAGGTGCAAGTTTGATTAACAAGTGTAGAAATTGTTTTAGCACTAAGAAAAGATGGAACGTCAAATTCACGTCTCATTTGGTTTGATTGGTGAATTTCACAATGGAATTGTTAGGTTTTACCACGTGCATAACACATGCTTACAGAGTTTTGGAAATGATCCATGTATCAGTAACCCAAATAATATTAAGATTTTCTTCATTATAACAAGTCACTTAGAAATTACCTAATAAGGAAATATTGAATGACAGAATGCAACATGGAAATGGAAAATTGCTGCTTATCATGCAAAATACAATGGAATAAAAACAAGTGAATGCATGATCAAAGAAATATAGTTTAAATTGTGAATTTGTATGAAAAATAAGTCAGTGAATAAACATTTGAAAACTCCCACTCGTCATTATCTTCATTATGCATCACTTCCAAGATAAAAATCTCACTCTCTCTCTCTCTCTCTCTCTCTCTCTGATGGTCTTCTTATTTACTAGATGCACACACAAAATGTTTTTTTTTGATGATACTTACCTCCTATGCTTGCCTTCAGGGCCTCAGCTTGCCTATAAAACAAAATAAAACAAAAGAACATGAACTAAAAACTATTGTACTATGCCATACATTACAAAAAATTCCCTATTCCCAACCCCCATTGGCACAATAAAAAAATAGAAAACCATACTGACAGATTGCTTTCTAGTTTACAAGAAGAATCCATAGAGATGAACCATAAAGGAAGACAGAGGACTGTGCTGCAGTGCACAATTTGAGTCAATGCGATATCAGTAGGACTGGAGAACAAGATGATATTGAATAAATACGTGTCCTAGTATGCATGTTTGGCACCAGACTACATATACATATATGACAGGAAAACCACTTGGTACATATTTTGCACTGGTGATATCCTTTTAGTTTCTTTTAATTTATGTATGCAAGCACTTAACTGTAAAACGGCCAAACAGGTAAGCATGCATCCATGGTTTATTACCTTACTCACAGCTCAGTTGAAGGGAAAACTGTTTTGCTTTAGAGCAATGTGCAAGTTATGGAGATGAGAGGCATGATAAAAATTTGAGAGCACCCGCAACGTGGTGAATGCGCAAACTGGTCTTCACTTCATACATTTTTCAGTCTATGCTTTCATTCATTAATACAGGGTATGTAGCCAAAGGGAGTGTAAACGCATGGATTTCGTGCTCGGATCTAACATGATTTATAAATCTCCGGTCTTATTTGGCAGTGCAGAGCATATTTTTAAAAATTCACAGTTAAAGACATAACAAGCTCTAGCCATTAGCTTCATATTCTTATCAAGAAACTGAAGCTCGGCTATGGGAAGGGTACTCGGGACAGAAAGTACATGTACTCCGACCCGACTCCCGAGTCCACATTTTGTTACATATCTCCCTAACCTTTATTCTACATTAGGCTCAGGGCTTTAGAAATTACCTAATCTATTCTTGGTTAAACGTTACATTTATTTCCATAGGCGCACTAATCAAAAACAGCTGAATGGTTAACTTACTTCAAAACTTGAGCAGCTGAGCTCATTCTGTTAATTTCAGGACGCAGCCATTTTTATCTCTTTCACTTCCGTCTAAGGTCAAGGTCATTTTTTCATAACAGGATTTCTATCTTCTATCCTACCCATGCGTGTAAAATTGAAAGCGAAACTATAACTCTGTATAAATAAAACCAGCAGAGAAAGAAAAAAAAATGGTGGACATTGCCGTGCTTGTGCATATTTGATAGGTTATTTTTTTATCTAAAGGATAATAGTTCTTTATGTGAGATTCAAATTTTCACTATACACACAGTGTTAGAAATTAAGGCTGGACCGTCTGCCCGGGGCAGACAACTTTCAGAACGGGCAGAGAAGTTTTCCCACCCGGCAGGCATTCTAGCCAGCTAATTTTCAAGATGGCTGAGCTTTCGGTCCAGCAACTTATTTCCTAAGAGGCAAACACTGTATATATATATATATATATATATATATATATATATATATATATATATATATATATATATATATTACAGCTACATGAGTATTTGCCGCCGGTTTACTGTACACAACAGATAGAAATAAAATAATTTCCATTTTACTTCCAAATCAACGGTTGTCGCATTTTTCTCAAATCTGCAATCAGAAAAAGTGGGCCTTCATACATGTAGATGGCCATGTGCACCCTCCGAAATTATCTCCTGAAAAATAAAATACGGGAAAATTGCCGTACTCCAGGCAAATCCGTATTAGGGAACTTTCCCCACTCGAAATGAAGAGCTTTCCTCCCTTCAAAAAGTGAAGCATGTAATGCGGCCACCAGTATCATATGTAGCAATGATATAAATACAGGTAAGTAGGCCAAGGTCAATGACGTACTGCATATTAACGCAAAGTAAACCAACTGCATGCTTTCGGCTCAGGTAAATACAAGGCCTCTATACAGGTTACGAGGCAAGATTTGATTGTACAGGTAGTCTACGATATTTTACATATATGTGATCACTGCATGCACATGCATCTATGTGTACATGTAAACTGAACTATAGCTAGAGGGCCAAATCTTAAGGGCCTGATCTTCAATCTGTAATATTATGTTATCATTATATTACTAGTGATTACAGGTATATGTTATTTAATTAAGATGTTCATTTATACTATCACTACTATATATATATATATATATACTAGTGCATGTACTAGCAGTAGTATTGTTTCATTCATTACGACAGTAGCTAGCATACACAGTGTATATATATATGTACTAGTATGAATTAAACATGTATGTACAGGTATTTGTACTTGTACCTAAGTAGACTACAGGATGGATCATACTGTACATGTTCTCAGTGAATTAAATGCCCTTTTTCTACTAATTTGCCAAGGGAAGAAAGGGGGAGATGACAGAGATGGACTTGACAGATCTGGTGGATACACATTTTCGTGAGTTATTAATTTGTTTTAGTATTTAAAGTTTTGATTGAAATTTTGAATATTCCAATACAAATTAAGAAACACTTAAATTTTTTTTAAGTAAGCTTGGTAATTGGGGGGGGATTTATGATAATTATAAATATATCAATCTATTCATGCACTCGGTACTTCTAAACTCCTAATTAATAGCTACTCCTTCAGGTTGACCCTTAAGTTTTGGATTTGTTGCTACCAATCATGTGAAAGCTCATTAAATTTAGTCTGAAATCATATTATGTGTGGGACAACTTTCAAATCAGTAGCTTTCCTTAATGGTCTTTATGTAACATCCTGCTTATATGGCCATATAAAAAAACGATATGGTAAGACAATAATTGATGTATCATTATGCAGCTGAAGGATAGTTCTAAAGAAATCAGTAGAGTTTTATAATATTGAATATAACCTGCTTAAACAAATGAGATCACCTGAGGTCAAATAGGAGGCATTTTCAGGCAAATGAAACAAAGAGGTTTTTTTTTTTTTATTAAGCATATACAAACACAATACAACACGTTACAATGTATACAAACATACAAGAACATACAATACATCACAGGATCAAGAAGGCATATTACAAATACAAAAAGATACACTACATCAGTACAGTTTTGTAACTTAATACAATACGTACACGTTCAAGGGTGCACAGTCACTGGAGTATCATTTAAATATTGTAACATGTACAATGCAGTATATACAAAATTCTACAGTATATTATGAAACAAAAAGTTATTTATTAAGAGAATGTAAATGAAAAATAATTTTTTGCTGTATTTCTAATAACTTGGTCTATATTAAAGGGATATAATGAGATTTTGGGAGTTAATTTTACAAATTGAGAGATTTATGGATGATGGAAACAATTAAGTGGTGTAGGGGGTTTTGTTTTAATTTATGAATAATTGAGGTTGGGGGAGGAAAAATGCTTACCATTTAATAGGTTTGCCAGATGTACAAATTAGTACAAATTTGGGGGGGGGGGGGCATATGTGCCACTATGTTTCTCTCAATCTGCCTTTGATTATATATAAACATGGATAATAAAAATATATATTTATGTCAAAATATTTTATTGAGATGGAATAAAAATCTTTCTTAACTCCAGATCTCTGGAACTTGAAGAAATTCCAGTATGCCTGGCCTGATGCTGATGTGCCAATACTGTTCAGGGATATCAACATAGAGGAGTATGCAGAGGAGACCAGAGACACTACCTTCAGACATGCTGTTTTTGTACAGGTGCTCAATAACTGCCCTGAGGAGACCAGTAAGTACCTGTACTTCCAAGCTGCCCTCTGATATGAGGGGGTTCTAAAATACAGTAGTAAACAAAATTACAATGTTAACCCCTGTAGGAAAACATCTAAGCTGCCTATCTGGTGTAATGAAACCAGTGAAATCAGGTGTAATTGAAATATCCCGCCTACCCATCGAGTGCTTTTCAAGTTTATGCTGTCTTGTTAATTTTTTTTTAAATATGTTTTTTTAACTGGATTTTACTTTTTATATACAGACATCAAACTAGTATGTGCATAACTGTATGTTTTTCATTTGTCATCATCACTGACTCTTTTTCTGTGCACGGACTACGGTATTCACTGTTAACACAATTAAAATAAATAGAAATAATGTGACTTATTATCCTCAAAGTTACTGGAGTGATTGACAGCACTGAAATACAGGTCAAATTTGAATGGCAGTTTGATTTCACCATTTTTGCTAAAATTATTGTGGCTTTTAAAATTTTTTCAGCATACAATATACAAAAATAAGTAAGTCTTGATAACACAAAAAATGACTTGATATTCTCACATACCAATTAAAGCATTTCATCCCATTAAAGTAAAGGCCAAATTTTAATATCAGCACAATCAGACCATTTTTCTTTCTATTTTAATTTTTTATTCAAGTGCATGCAAGCCTTGGTAACACAATGAATAAGAATGTGTCTCATTCATTTTACCATTCTTCGAGTTAAAAAGTAGGCCTGTCTGTTTTGTTTTACACTGTAAAAAAGAAGGCATATTAGGTATATACTTCATCTGTTTGTCAATTTTATGTACACTTTTTATATTAACACACATGACTGTTCAGTTAACTGTAAGGATGACACTCTAGGTAGTGGTTCTTGAGTACAACAGATCAGTAGAATGATTTTATTGGTCACAACTGTCATCTTGTTGCCTGTCGGAGTGTCAATAGTGCGTCTTTCATGCATGTTTCAAACTTATCTACATGCAAGCTACGTAAACATGAAACTTGAAAGTTAAAAACCATGTGACTTATTATTTACAAACTTAACACAGTAATAAATAGCACTTAAATACAGGTCAAGTTTGAATATATATGAGCTTTATCAAACCATTTTTGCTGAAGTTCTTAAGATTTTCCCTTTTACCCAGTATACTGTATATAACCATTTATGGAGAAAATTCAAAACCACAACATTTATTTCCCTCTAAGACATCATTCCTATAGACACCATTGGTCTACTTAAATTGATCCAACTCTGTGGGGACTCTCGCTGAGTGCAAGCAGATTTACCTAACTTATTTCATATACCAATTTTTCAGAATGGCTTCTGAAACTGGCAAAGACGCATCCATTTCTGAAGGGGGTTGTAGGTGGCATTGATCTGACCTCCCCAGATGTAAGTGTGTTACAGTAGTGGATGTTTATAAAAACTAAGACAATTTTTCTTTCTGTAGAAGATTTATTGCAATCAAAACATATATGTGTGATGCAACAGGGTATTCAGCCATTGCACTTCTTGAGTTTACTTATTAACTTGCATGGTCTTGCACCACCTGCATCATTATATTCACCTTCAGTGGACTTTATGCTGTATATGTAAATCTTGGAGAGGTATAAAAAGTACTCTACTTATTTCAGCTTGAGAAAACTTTGGATGAACTCTCCATGGACCCCAAATTTGTTGGCACTCGCCATATATTGGACTTCGAGAAGGAGGACTGGCTGACGCGTGAGGATGTGAAGAAAGGATTAGGAATATTGGAGAAGAAAGGACTGACCTTTGACCTCTTACTAAGGTGTGTGTTTCAGTATGGTATTGACTTTAGTTTTTTTTTTCTAAATTCCAACACACATGTACACATGCATGCATGCATGTGCAAATACACACACACACACACACACACACACACACACACACACATCTGCACATATACACACACACAGTGCATCTTATTTCTTTCATTTAGATTAGCTTATATAATTTTCTTCTCATGCACAGCCTTTTTTTTTTTAAATCAGTCATTTTAAGCATGGATGAACATTTTATGTGCATGTGTGAGCCAAACCCAGTATCTTTGTTTGATACATATAACTTAATAAGATACTTTGTTTTCAGGCCTCATCTTCTGAAGCATGTGCCTTCCCTTGGAGCCCAGTTTCCTAAGTAAGATGATGACTTACTCCCCAAAAATATTTTTATACTGAAAAACTCCTTTTGTTATGATATTGTATATTTGAACCTAAAGTTTTAGATTTTAGAGGATAGAATTAACAAATTTTATCATAACTATTGACCCATTTTATTTTTTACAAAAAATTGAAGAATGTGAAATCATTTTTAATTGTTGTTTATATTTAGTATTATAATCATAAGTAGGAGTAGTAGTAGTGGTAGTAGTAATATCAAATATTAACACCAATATGTATACAATGTTGAGAGTCCTGTCATGAAAAGTGCACATTGCCATTGCGTTGTTCAAGAACACATGGTAACCGTAATTCTTACAACTCCAGTTTGAAGATGGTGGTGGACCATATTGCTAAACCATTCATCAAAGATGGAAAGATGGAAGGATGGAAAGAGGATATGGAGAAGATTGCCAAGTGTCCAAATATCAGCTGTAAACTGTAAGTATGGTAATAATTCGATCTGTTCAATGCTCAAAAATGATCAAACTTTCAGAAATATAATCTTTTTTTATATTATAATCACAAAATTATATTTCTGTATAGATTTTGTGGTGCTTTTAATGATTAGAACTATAGAGTGGCCTGTTATCAATGTCATAGATTGTCATTGGGTCGTGTCCCAGGGGATGACAACTATTGGCAATGTGTCAAAGTGCATCTGGTTAATTATTGATTACTATAATAAGATTAATGATTAAGTAACCAAGATGCAAGCAACAAGTACGGAGGTTAAGTGATCAACCTATATTTTATGGACTATTTCATTCTAGTTATTTGCCTTATAGGTATTTTCTTAGGTCTTTAGAAGAGAATGTTTTTTTCAGAAATAAAATAGAGGCTGGAATACAAAAAGAAATGTTTAATAGTAGTCCTTTTACAGGTCAGGGTTAGTGACTGAGGCAGATCTCAAGGATTGGAAGGTGGAGGACTTTGTGCCATATGTTAAGGTATGGACATCAGATATTCAGTAAAACAACATTAACAAAAAGCTGGTCATTCTATCAATTGTTTTCTCCAGATGAATAAGAATTGTCAATTTGAGTATTTATACCTGTATGTAATAAAATTAATGATTAAGCAATTTTTGAATGATAAAACTGTTGCTTAAAGGGATAATAACTCTTCGTATGAAATCTGTATTTCACAATAAAAACATTGTGAGTGACTCATAAAAATATAATATAGTCTGTTTTCCCACAAAAGCGGCTGTTATAGCTATTATTCTGATATCTGAGCTTGTCTTTAGACCACGTGACCTCCATTGATGGCTATACTCTGTTAAAATCTCTTAAGAGATTTTAACAAAAAAACAAACTTTTTAGAAAAAAACCAGGGACTAACTTTGAATGTAAAAATGGATTCATTAACCATTGGTAAGTATGGAAAAATTGTTGTTTACTCCAGGAAAATTCATTTTTTGGCCGAAACGAAGAGTTATTATCACTTTAATGGTAAATTTCACTTTTGTGCGGTGCTGGTTTCAACTTTATTGCAACTTTCATTTCTGTTGAAAGATGGCGCCACATCACAATACATACACAATAGCCTATTGAATTGAACTATATGTTTGTTGCAGCATGTTATGAAAATCTTTGGAGTAGATCGGTGTTTTTTTGGCTCCGATTGGCCAGTGAGTCTTATGGCTGGAGCTTCATTCCAGAAAGTCTTTCAAGTTCTTCAGGATATTTTGAAAAAACTGGATGTAACAGAAGAAGACCAAATCAAAATTTTCCGAGAAAATGCCATCAAGTTTTATAATCTTAAGATTTAGGGTAGATCTATTGATCTCAGGGACAGCTTGCTGTTGTGCAGTGAGCAAGCTAGTGCATTATGATATTGCAATTTATTCTTACTTTATTAAGTATAGTTTTATTACATTCAACAGTTTTAATTGGTTCTAGGAACTTGCATATGATACTTGATATTAGATAGGGAATATCCTTGGGTCTGGGGTATAGCGGTATGCACAAATATTTTATTGAAATATTATCAATATTGTAAAAGCTTAATTTTAGCCTGATTTGTAATAATTAAAGATTGGTTTAGGTATGTAATTGGAATTCCTACATAGTATTCGCCATATTGACACGAATTTCTATGAGTGGTGATGTTTACTTATATAGTTATTTTATGGGACTTTTGAAATTTTTTGTTCTGTGGATGATATGATTCCATTAGTGCCTGTACTAAATGTTACTGCCGATGATTAGTCTTTGAACCCTAGGTGACTCTTTCCAGGAAGCAACTTTACAAGTTTCCAGAGCTTTAAACATGTTTTAAACAAATGAAAATGTAAACTTCGTTTTGAAGTTTTTTTCTCTAAGAATACCCATATAAAAACTGATATTAACACATTGAAATGTATGTTTAAAATATTTTATCTGTAGTTGGTTGATGTACAGTGCCTACATTTTACATATCGGGTGATTTATGCTGTGGAGCACAGACAGGTTATCTTTTACTTGAATCGTCTTTTTTAAAGAAATGATGTGCTACTAAAATTTTTATATGCATATTATTTAATTCATATCGGGATATTAGAGTTTTTCATATTTTAATATTCCTGTCTATTATTCCTTCTGTAGATTGCCTTACGCACGAGAATAAGCGCATACCTACAGTGATAATGGGGAAAAAGGAGAAAGGCGCACGTTGGTTGTCTGCCATTTATGTGTGTGTGTGTGTGTGTGTGTGTGTGCGGGGGCGCTCGTGTAACCACCAGTTGGGGTGTTCAGTATACAACGTAGACAACAGACTAAACCATTAATAAACTTACCAATTGACTGACAGTTACGCATGTTCGTTTTATGAATAATGTCACTTTTTATTGACACATCTATATATTACGAAACTCTCTTACATATTCCCAACGTACATAACACAGAATTGGCCTTTTCACTCTAATCATAGGCATTGGGGAGATATTGCCGCGAGCTGCTCTTTTCCCACCTGAGTGTCGGGGTCCACTGGAAACTCGAGCTCTACTGTCAATATGCCTTTGTCGTTCCCACTGTCTGAATAGTAGACAGGTAAGTTTCCAGTGACCTATAAAATCCGGTATGCTCACTTCAGACTTAGATTTGAAAAAAAAAATAATAAAACGAACAAAGGCAACGCATATGTTACACCGTCGTTACCAAGACAAACGGTCTGACAAGTGGCTTTGTCAGAGTAATTCCTTAGAACGGAAATCGAGCATGGCGTAGTTTTAAGTGTCACTGATTTTGAATAACAGTCTTTCATTAGTGTTCTTAGTAATATATTTTGATCGCAAGTCACGTTAGACATTAAATATATGGATGGATAACGCGTTACTTAAAAGTGTTCGATCTGCTGCGACAATAACAATACCATTCAAATTTCTTGCGACATGTCCATGTGAGAAATCTCCCTGACAACAGCGCCGTTCACGGTGACAACATCATCAAATACCTTTCCATTTCCCGCCGACGATGATAGCCTATGGGTTAGAAAGTCCTTTTCATCCCCAACCCACCAACTTTTAAATTTCCTAAACAGCAACCTGTACCCTTCCCGAACTTCTCTGAGGCGTAAACCATATATGAACGGATCCACTATTGGATTGAAAAAGAACATAATATTACTGGCAAGCTGAAGCGTGTTCAGTGAAAATTCCATGTCTTGGTCGAAATGGCCAGGGTTCTGGTTCCCAATAATGTAAAAAATTGATGTTAAGGTCCCTGGGATCCAAAATAGGAGGACCGTTCCTAAAAGTAAGGCCACGGTTGTGGCCAGCTTGTTTTGGCTGGAGACCGGACTGCCGGTGACCGGTCGTAACGTCACCTCGTGGGCTTTGGCAAATATCAAAATATAGACGATGACGTTGAAGACTGAAAGAGTAATGATGGCGCAGGCCAAGAAATACTCCCTTGCCAGGAAATATTTCGATTGCTCGAAATGTTCCATACAGCTTGATTTGGGTGACGCAGCGCAGGTGATCCCGTGAAACGTCAAATAGGCGGCCGTCACCAAGACACACGGGACGAATATGGAGGTAAATGTTCTCCTCTTCGTCATGAAAGTAGAATAGGACAGTGCCTTGACCACTGAGACGTACTGGTTGACCACAAGTCCTGTTGTTGCCATCAGCGGAGGCAATATGAGATAGCAGGACAGGTCAGAGATGACAGTTACGGCGCACGTAATCTGGGCCTCGCCTTGACCATCCCCTGCCATTCCGATGACCGAAGCCAAAGCTGGCACGAAACATACCGCCAGTAATAGCCAGTCAGCCACAGCTAGGTACAGGAGGAGGTAGTGGAACGGCGCCCATGGGCGGTGAGGTATGAACCACAGGGCCATCACTGATACGGTATTTTCTGTTAGTCCTATGAAAGCAAAGGCAGCCACTGTGGGGTAAAACCATCGTTTTAAAGTAATGGTGTCTATTTGTTGCCCTGTGCCATTTTTGTAATAGTTGTCGAGGAGATGCAAAGAGTCGTTTTGTGAAAGATCCATTGTAACGAGTTCCCGTCCTTGACAGAAACGCTCAACGTCACCGGAACGTCAGATACTCGTGCTAATCCTCCGGGATTATGTTGTGACGGTGGAAAAAAAGTTCAAAATTTAACTTCGCAATTGTAAAACGCTATATGCTTCCCGGTATACCCCGCGACACAGGGAATCAATCATGTCAAAGTATTTTTATGTGTATCCAGGTTTGGTCATTATCGTTCAGCAGAAAAAAATAAATATATTACTGCTTTAAAGTTCAGAATCTTCTTCTAAGGTCACAGGAACTGTTCTTGTGTTTGTTGTATCCTGCAAATGACATTGGAAGATAAAGTTGTCAGCCTTCAAATAACAGACGGTAAATAGAGAGACGATCTTCAGAGACGCTTAACGATTACCATCAGGGTTGTCCTGCCAAGGCCATTCATCATGCATTCTAGAAGTGCTGGAATAGATAGAGGTTTGAAAAACGGATAGTCTGTTCCCTCGTAAGTAACCACATTATCTGTGGATGTACTAAGATCGAACAATATAGGTTATAGATTTCTACGGGAGAAACGTTAAAGAAGAGCTCTGAACTTGAAAAAGCAATTAGCTGGCAACTGTCTTGGGACTCATTTAATTAATTGGTTTTGAGTTCGAGGAAAATGAGGATGAATTTATACACAACGGGCTTCCAGATCGTAGCGATCAGAGGAAATGTGCAATAGCAAAGACTAAAAAACTTTAAGAACTGCCTTATTTGACCCGTTATCAACTTATGGAAAACGCTGCAATCACTGTCAATTGAATTAAGAAAGGTTATATATTTTTGAACCAACCTCTTGGCAACGTCCACGTGCGTCATCTATACAACAACAATTCGACTTCGTAATAAATAAATTCCATTTGCACCGCATTGACATAAACGCGATCACGTTTCACTCCACTGGGTGCTCTTCGTTCTCTTATTGCTGTACTTTCTGCTCTCAGCAATCAAGACCCTTATGGTCAATAGTAATTGTAATAATTATTTTTAAGATGACGTGCTCATTGAAGAGTCATTTCGAGAGCCATGCGCCTAAGGAATTGTCGCGCAACATATTAATTCATAAAATGATCAGATTAAAAAGGCGTATGTGGATGGCATATCACCAGGGTAAACAGTTTAAAACTTGGATATCCACTTTCGATGTTTTGACAGATTTTTAAAAAATTGGTCACTCAAAGAGAAACCTGTTAATTGTATGATGCACATTTATATTGGTAACTGGCCGTGCAGAGAATGTAATGGTTCTCAAGTACAACAAAAGTAAACCTAACTCTTCTATTCCTGTGCAAAAATACCTGACTTCTTGATCCATAGCTGTTCATATTTTTTATAAGATACAAGCTACTACAATCATCTGTTTATATTCTTATCTTTTAAGAAACGTGTCTTTTAAGTTGAAGTCGCCTTTAGGAACAAGAACACTCGTCTTATGTTTTAGACTTCTTCTGACTTAGTGTACGTGCATTTGTGGAATCGGCCGCCGTATGCTTCCGTAGTGTTGACAGTGATGGAAGAGGGTACATCCTTTTCTCGTTAAAAACTGCAAAATATGTTATTCCTTCTCACTGTTGAACACAACAACGATATTATGAACTTCAATATGCCAATCGAAATTCATTCCTGTTTAAAGCGTTACTGTTGAACTCCTACATAAGTCTGGGAAAAGACGTCAACTGCTGTAATTCAGTTCCATTTATCTGTGGATATATCTCTGAAACAGTGGTACTGAAGCTCTTCAGTGCAGTGTCGGCCTCGCTGGTTCTAACCTGTTCCAATCAAAACTACACGTTAAACAACCCAGTGGCAGCAGAAACATTTTGTTTTTACAAAAACAAGTCAATACTAAAAAATTCGCTTAAACGAGTGGGCTCTTGCTGTTTTGTTTCTTTTATTTCGTTCTCCAACTGCTACTTGATACACCTATACAAAACAGTATCGTGCACTGTTTAGCACTTTATTCGGCGTTCTCTTAAAGAGATGCATAAGACCATGAATTTCAATGAAGGCAGATAAAACATCTACTCAATTAAATTCCGTTTCTATGCAACAGACTGAAACATGATGACGACAGACTTGAAAGCCTGTATTCTGCATAGGTTGCCGCATGCCAGCTTGATAATGTATCACAATAGAGGTATCTGCCACACAAAGGAAGATGACGCCTCTAAAAGTTTGCTGTTATATTAGAGAAATACTGTATATTAACATGCAATCAATGTGTGAGGTAGAATAAAAGAAAATTGAAGTATGTCTCTTTTGTGCCTAATTTTACATCCAACAATGCCGTTCCCTCTAGTCAAAAGGAAAGACATTACTTATATCATCATGAAAGATTATACATGTGGCACAGCATGCGACCATCTTTAAAACAAGAGAAAACAAAATAAGATATATGAATCCAACATGAGCAATGCTAATAGAGGGTTTAATTGACTACTTTCTGATTTACACGTTGCGATGTTTTCAATGAAGTTTGAAAGATTGTCAGACGAGCTGGAACAGTTTCCGTAATTTTATCCAACTCGCCCTTGATAATGTCTTGAAATTACTTCTTTGTCGGTAATAGTTCTCTTGCGAAATCTCAGAAGCAGGAAATAGCATGGCCATTTTCTTTGTATCTGTCCTCAACATGTCTACAATATCCTGACAGCAGCAATCAGTGCCGAGCCCAAGGACAATTGGAAAGGCATTAGTAACCGACTTCTAATATCTCTACGTATCTCTAGCATGGGTTCTTGTTCAATATTCTGAATTTTAATGGTGTAGAGGCCTATACTCCTAGTCTTGAACAATTTAATCAGTCAATCACATTCACAATCAATTAAAGCTTGTCGGTCACTCTTGTAGTTACTGGTCTCATCGTGAGAATTTTGACTGAATAGTTTCTAATACAGAAAACTCAATCAAAGTTGATATGTGACCCAAAATTCAATCTATTAAATGCAGGGTGTAAATTGCCATTAGGCCCACACAAAACAGTGCAATATGATTTATGCTGTGCACAAAGGACAAAATTAGATCATACCACAGGGAGATTTGGCAAATGGTCATTACATCTTATACAGTACAGCTTTCCCATGACCATTGTTGACGTTTCCTTCCAATTACATGCCGCTAGCCTCAGGGTGGTACGGTGGAACTAATGCGTCAGTGCCATAGACATGGGTTAAAGTAGCGATTTCTGATCGGTAGCACTGCATATCTTGGAGAATCGGTTATAATGTAGAACAAAGCAGGCGTACACATTAGAACCACGTGTTTCTCTTCATCGGTGTTTTGAATGAACCTCGCACAGGACTTCTAAACGATAATTGCCGTTTGTGACTTGGAACCGCGAATCAGCGATTTTAATTTCCCAACTAATTATTTGAATCACAATTCATTATCGTATTGTAAAAATACTGACTGCGAGCATGGCGTTATTGACTGCGAACTGTTTTCATCCAGCTCTGTCGCGACGGAGTCCCAGTCAATCTGCATCAGAAATTTTAAACAAAATAAGAGAGCAAAAGGCAGAAACTTGGACCAATAAGAAATGTGCATAAACTGATTATCCATTAATGCAATCCATTGTTTAAATTAAGAGTCAAAAATTAAAAGAAGGATTGGCAGCGCTAATATGCGGTAGTAACTAAGATAAGAGAGGAGAAACAAAGCATAAACTCTGAGAAAGACAGGTTGGGTTTTGCCAAGTCTGAATGCCATACCATACTGGTTAGGGCAGTGTTCAGAGCTCAGCAGTGTTCAGTAGTCTGAAAAGATCATTTTGGTATTTCTTCAAATTACAACAGACAGAAATCATCGGCACTAAAATGAACCGGAATTGTCGTCTATCTGTTTTAACAAAAAGGGAAATGAATCTCGAAGTCGACAGTAGCTCAAAGGCTTTGCTCACATATCAGTGGGCCCCAAGTGAAATGATTTCTGACGAAAGAATAATGCACATTGTTATCAGTAAAATGACCGCTGATGTAGGTTTATTACTCTTAAGACGTAATTTTACCTAACTAATCCACAAACGCATGTAGGGCGGGTTAACAGCAAAACAGTATTGACATGCTCTCTATCTAATAGTGAATAAGCAGCATTATGTGCTAATTAAATCTCGATTGGATATCCATTCTCGCTTGCAATAGTCGTTAGTCGTTGTTTTCTTATTTTATTTTTCTTCAGACAGAGGGAGGAGGGATGGGGGTGGGGAGGGGGGGGTCAGTGAGGCAGCAGAGGGTTCGTCGGGATACAGCAAAATACTCCCAGTACAAATCATCATATAAGTCTCCCAATGAAAATGGAATCCCTACAATAACCAAAGCATACAGCATGTATTTCCAGCAACTTGGCTCAAGAACTTGACACCCTCAGTCTATAAAACTGTGTTATTTATACGTGTATAGCAGCTCCACAGACCACCCCCCCCAAACTCACCCCTGCCCGCTCTTAAGTAATCATATCACTGCCTCGACTACATGTCTCTGCTTCGCCCGTGTTTCTCTGCTGTATTCTTTTCTCTTGTTATTCCAATTCCAATTGATGGAAGTATCACAGATATTAAACGAACCAAAAGTCTTGACTAAGATGTTATTTGACTCTAGTATTTATCCTTGTCATGATGTGCATTTACCGAGATTGAACATGCATATTATGCTCGTGGCCTGTCGTTTATTTGTGAAAAACCAATTTACACTCAGATTTAAAATAAGAAACACAAATCCACATATTACACACGATTAGTCATTTGCTATGAATTGGCACAACCGTCTATCTGATATTGTCAACGTGGGCGTAAATGTAAACGGAAATAATTGAAGCAGTTGACTGTTTGTCATCATCGAACACATTGTCTTATGACACATGTTATCATTTGCGAAATCAAAGGCAGGTTAATGGTAATTTTGCTGTCCTCTAAGATTGAAAAATATCTGCAGGGTAAAAGATAAAAAATATATGCAGGGTCACGGGCGGATTTGGAATACTAAAAAGTAACTCATTTAAAAAACGAAAGAAAATAACTAAAATCCGATCTAAATTGTTTCGATGTTAACCCATAAATCAAATGAACGTACATGCCAAATGGCAAAAAAAAAAAAAAAAAAAAAAAAAACGATCAACGAATTTCATGAAGAATTGATGTTCATCATAAAATGCAAAATTAATGTGCTATACAATAACAAATTGGTGTAATCATTGCAATTTCATGAATAACAAAAAACTGATTACTTTTTGACAAATAATGATGCAAGAGAGATATTAGTCAAGGGAGTGAATGAGTGAAGAGTGTAATGTCATCTTTTAAATTTGTATTTCTAACTTTCAAATAAAATACTATTTTAATTACAAATAACATTTAAGATGCAAAAGTTATACTCAATTGTCCATGTTATCTGTAATTCAAATAGTTAAGTTTTCTCAGTTGTAAATGTTCTGCTCAAACAAACGCCATTAAGACAAATTATGAGATAATTGTTACCTTTATTTTTGGTCATTACAATTTATTTTCAACAGTCAAATATCCTGTAAAACTTAATATATCCTTTTAAATTTAATGTCTAAGCATATTTTTTATCCTCGTGCTCTACGGCTCAAAATAAAATATAATCCACTTACTACTCAAGGACAAGAAGGAAACTCTTGGTTCTGCAGAAATTAAAATCGCCATTAAAATGACCCATTAACTCATAGAGCATTTCATCACTTATACTGGGCGCAGTTTTACTCGTCTATAATGGGGGACCTCCGGATTCCTCGACAAGACCCAATTGCAACTCAAGTTCCTCCGCTCTGGCGTACACCTCTCGCGTACCGAAAGCCTCGTTATTGGGGCACAAGAAACGCGTCTCAAAGTCCACGCATGTGCCGTTGTTAGTGGCAGCGTTCACACACATGATGCCGGGGATCGGCGTGAGCCCGCAGCGGGTTATGAACACGCCAGGCTCGTCTAGGTAGGTTTCATTGGACGGAATATGACCCTCTACCGTTCGGCATTCTATATCCACAATTGGATTGCCAACTCCGCAGACCTAAGATGAAGAAAATGCTATTTATTGTTTAACATTAGAACTGAGTACATTGAATTGTTCTCTGACAGACATGTCTGTTAAAATGTATATGGCCACTGTTATAATGCAGGCCAAACTAAAGTGCATGGCGACTTTCCTTCGGACATGTATTAAAAATACAGAGAATTGGCTTTATAAAAGATATTGGTCATGGATCATACAAATATTGTTTCATATTTCGGTCTGACAAAGTTTTGCCAGTGTAGTCATACGGTACTGTAATAAACCACTGGCAGAGTTTGACTTATACTACCCTGCACTATCGATCATAATTATCTCTCTGAGTAAGGTTCGACCGATGGATGTCATCCAAATATTCAACAAATATAATTATCGGTAGTATATAAATCAACTTTCTTGACAACAGCGTAGGAGCACTACTATACTATCTATTATGATGCGACAAATTACAAAATGAAAAATTGCTTATTTCACTTTGAGACCATACAGAGTACCTTTAGAACATAAAAGATTCCGGTCGTTGACCACCCTGATTCTCAACAAGTTTTTGGAGGGTCAGGTGAAATTGGATTATGTTTCGATGCAAAGGGGAACATAAGTGTGCAAGTCATTTTTCGTGAAAATGAACCTGACAGGTTTACGACACTGAATCTACCTGCTTCCGATATATATATATTTAAAAAAAGGTTTTAGTAAAATTGAGAGAAAGTGATTACTATTTTGCGATGGAAAGGGGCATATAGGCCTATCGAGGTCGAAAATGTGCGTACCCAAAGAAAATAGGCCTACGCGTTGTTCAAATTGCAATTTGCAAACTGAAAACGAAATACATTCACCTTGCGAATAAAAAAACGCTGATTAAATCCTTACTATATAGGAAACCCTTCGTATCGTTGTGTATCTTGCTGAGCCCTACTTACCGCACCAAAGTCTGTCTCGAAGTCTCCGTCTCCTCCCCAAGCGCCACCGTCTATAGTGAGAGGGGTGTCTTTGTTGGTCCAGTTAGTGAAGACGAAACCTGGGAGTGTTTAGAAAAAAATAGTGTAGAAATAATGTAGTTGTGGAACCAGGGTGTTGAATGCGTGCTTTGTTGTCGTCCAATTTTCAAATATGTAGGCCTACTTCTTTGTTATTAGGCCTTCATACACCATAATACACCATCATACACTATCATTTTAGTTGTTTTGTCTTAGTGCATTAGGTATTTGAATATTCATGGGATGTTTATCTACAGTTTTGTGGAACAACAAACTACTATGGGGAATAGATATGATTTTAAAAGCTTCCTATATTGGCTCCAGCCAAAGCCAGTGAAAGAATGAATGCACGTGCACAAACCTTTACATATGCGTCACTGCATGCGTGTGTGTCCGTGCGGCCCCGTTTATACCTTGTGTTTGTGTTATTGCCACATTGCCATATACTTACAGGCTTGAGTATTGCAGACTCGACTCTCCTCACTGGGTCCCTCACAGGTGCCGGGTATTGAGCACGTTCGGCTTCTTACGCTAACGCCACCACCGCACGTGACGCTGCACTCTCCCCACTCTCCCCAGGGGGACCACTCGCCGGTTTCGTCAATACACGGCTGCCATAGAAAATCGGATTTTGGAAATAAATGTTACATTTAATCGAGAGATTAAAAACGCTTATTGACATTAATTAGGAATTAGCGTGTAGATTTGCCGTCAGTCATGTTGATCACATACTAGGGGTATAAAATTCAAAGCGAAGAGAAAGTCTCAAGAGTGTCAAGGTACAATTTGTGGAATTTGTTTAAAGAACAAATGGGATTTTCTTCATCATAACCAAACAATCTTTGAGATGGATTGATCTTGCGTGACTGTCTTATGTATCGTTGCAAACAATCAAGCTAAGTTTAGTTGAAAAAATATCGAGACTAGAGATCAGGAAAAGAGGCATACGACGGCGGGTGATTGTAATGAATATCGTTTGTATCGAACAAAATCCCAATTATATATAAAGTTCTTAAGACACCGTGTCACACCGGGCTAACGAACGCTTGGAAAACTAATTTTGGCCCAATCTTATGAAAAGCAACAATAGCAAAGGCTGCAATATTAAAAATTCTTTAAAACTGATGTATGACTTCGATGGTGCCCCAAATGAAAAAAGTGTGAGGGTGGGCAAAAAATCCGTACCGCAAACGGTTTCAAGCACGGTNTTCAATAAATAAATAATCCAAAACCTTTTTCCAATAACCCCTGAAATTAAAAAATAGCTAAAAAAATAACCATACAAACCCCTCCTTTAAGCTTCTTTGCTCGCTATACAATTACATAAGAAATACCATATAAAAAACCTCCTCAAACCCCCCTCCTTTATGCTTCTTTGCTCACTATACATTTCCTTTCCCCCTCGCTGGAAGGGGCTTCAAAACCTCGTCTCTTACTACTCACGGTGTAACAAAGTCAGAAGAAATGCCGTATTACTCACCGTTTTGAACACCGTTTTTAAGGAAATCGAAACTGGCCATCAAAGCAAAAATATCAAAAACGCAATCAAAATCCGTTGTAACGGAGCATTTGGCGAAAAAAGTCCACACTGTGCCCTTAGAGGCAAAGTGTAGTCACTTGTTTGTTTAATCTAAAACGAAAATTTTAACGAACAAATACAATAACAACCGAGTGTTCCAAAGATGTTGCGATACTTACCAAATTAATGCCGTGACAAGGGTTTGCGTCCCCGGGTTGCATGACGTAATCATGACGCACTGTGGTGCCCGGAGCACATCTGAGACGCGTGGGCTCTAAGTCTAACGCCGCGTTGGCGTAGGTGCACTGGTAGAAATAACACCGGTTGCTAATGTCTCGCATGTACTCGCCAATACTCTCACATTCCTTTTCTAGAATACGATAAAAATTGGCAGTTCTGTATTCCAACAGAATTTTTGAACTACGAATAACAACGATTATTTGTTGTCTAACGTAAGCTTTAAAAATCTTCTGGGTTTTCTGAAATTATAAAAAGCAGTATATATAGGTTCATTGTGTACATAGTTGTAACTTTACTTAACGCGCCTTTACACAAATAGTTCCGAAAGATTAAAAAAGATGAGAATAAAAACAGATTGATTACCAGGAGTGGCTGTCGCCGTGGCTAGAACCACCAGGAACAGGTAAGCTGAGAACATTATGGCACACCTCCGTCTTCTTGCTGAGTTATCAAGTACTTTTGACCAGTACGCTCAAGATATTATATAGGGAAGGCATTATGTAAATTTACATTTTAAATAAGAACTTAATTGTTGTTCTATGTTTTAAAAAGCAATAAATTATCCAATTAGGGGGCGTCGGCAGAGTGGTTTGTCCTTAAATTGAGTGCGCATTTAAAATTAACAATTCGTTGAATTATTCTACCTAATTAATGAAGATATGTTCGGGTGCAAAAAGCTATGAGTAATGGAATATAGATGTATGCACCCCTTGAGGTAGAGTCACCTTTCCAGGTCTTAAAACGCAAAAAAAGGAAAAAAGGAAACAATTTTTACGAACACTCATTTCGGATATATCTACACGCAGGTGACCCGTGGAGCTGGTTTTATACAATTAAGAGCCCATTTTATATTTTAGGAATGTGATTTATTGTCTAATATTTTCCCTTTTCACATCTCCAGCGAGTCCGTAATAATGTTTTCTTGTTTCAGCAAGCGAAATTTCCTTCAGTTAATATTTATTAATCTCTTTCAAGTTTGATGTCATGTTTTGCCTTTCTCTGCTTTTCATGTTGTTTTCTTAATCACCACTTCGCTGTTAGACGGCACTGATGCATCAAGGTAAAATTGGATGTACATCAAGGTAAAATTGTATCTTTACCATGAAAAAAAATAAATAACAAAATAAAATATCTCGCCATCTTAATGATCTGGAACCTTTAAAAATATTTACACGTTGATTAGCAATGAATTATCAAGGAATTCGGCAAACGCACTTTATAGGGTGGCTGTCCTAAGGTCACTGACCTCTCATCAGATTTCAGACGGGCGCACAGGCCCGTTCAAGTCAGAAATCAAATCTGCATATTTATTAGGCGTCCCCTATCCTTTCATATGCGTCACTGGTCTTAGACACCAGTTTAGCTGGGCGGAATATTAAATCTCTTTTTAAAATGTTATCTAGCATATATATAGCAATAGCTATACATAGTTCACCTTAGAAAAAAAACTTACTATCATTTGATGATTCTGTCTGTCACTTATATTTTACTCAATTGACAACTGTAATTTAACTTTTCAAAAGAAAACAGCATTAATCCAATATTGTCCTCAAATGTTTGTGTCTGTGGCACTTTGAAGCTGAGAGCTTTTAGCGAAGAATAGTTAAAACTCGCTTTTGATGACTGCCCTCGTTTGATCTCCCTGTCATCGTATTTCAAACAACCGTCCCTATCCACTCCCCGGCAATTAAAACTGCATATTCAGGTGCAGCTTTCATCTCCTCCTTTCATTTGTATGTAAAGTAGAAGTCCTCGGGTACGTCATCTCATGTCATTTATAATTATAATTTATCTAAAATTACCACCAGAAGATTTACAGTTTTACATTCATAATGGAAATGAAGAATAATAATGAAAGATATGAGGAACAATTAAATGACGCACACACTAGATTATATAAAATGACATTACTTCAACTTCAAGCAAAATCAATTCCACGAATGTTTAAAAGGCAAAATCAGCTGCCCCTCTCCAATGTTACCATAGCAGATTCAGAAGAAATTTTTGTATCCACAAAAAGTGAGCTGACACTCCCGTGGTCAAAAATAAGTCCACTTCACGCTGATTTACACTGACTCTAAGACAAAGGTTTTACTTTTATTATGATTAATCCACTCCCAAAATTCCGTAATTATTCCATTTTGAAGTGCTTGGATAAAATACTTCGTTCTTAAAAAGGAGTACACTTTACGCCCCTCCACTCTAGACGTAACCAGACGAGAAAATATGAGGCATAAGCACTCTTCTCATTGCAGTAACTGGAGAAAAGAACCCCATCCCCTGCCCATGCATCTTCCAGTTTTCTTATTTAAAAATACATTTCCATATGGCATCGACTAACACGTGGTAGTTTTTATAAACATATTTTTCAATGACGAGTAAAGAAACACCAAATATATAAATATTACTAAGCTGTTTTATTTACAAAATATCTTTACAATTTTCTAAAATATTATACTGATAAAATCAGAAATTTTGAGAATATTGGAATCCTGATTATTTTGCACGCTTCTCATGATTCAGAAGTGAAAAAAAAAAAAAAACGCCCCCTTTTAAAGACCTTCCTCTTCTTAGGCGAGTTTTTTTAGTAAAAATCTAAAATAAATGTACACCCACAAGGTGAACTCAGAGAATGCACCATTTAGTAATTTTCTCCGTGAGATTTGTAACTTTTTTAAGTTGTCCATTTGTATTTCTGTCACAAATATCCAAGGACGATCATTTTTGTATAAAGCATTAAAGCATCATGAAGTGACACGATGTGTCAGAAATTAAAATGGGGATTGACCTTACATAACCGTACAATACCACTGTTAGTTTCAGTGTCTACTGGTAATAAACCTGTACAATAGCCTTCTTTTGCTCATACTGAAACTGAAACAGAGGATGGATTCCAGGGAGCAGGTAGAAAGAGAATGGCATCAAAATCATTTGCACCAATGAATTTTACATTATGGTCAGAAAGAGAGTTCACTGATAAAACTTGTCAATTTTTATCTCTTCCTGGCTATGCCAGGAATCTTTATAGAAATCGTTCTTTTCGAAAACTTTTAAGCGGAACAGTTTCTTTTTTCATCTTCTTAAGACTTAAATATTATAACTGCATTGTCCATAAATACATCAGATATTGTACATAATACAGATGATATAAATCACAAGAAATACGGCGTAGTTGTGCGTGGAGGAATAACACGTTCACTGTCAGGCACTGCGTGAAATATTTTAGCTTCTTTTGTCTCTGCGTCTGAGAAGGAGAGCGTGGCAGCCACATTGCCACAGCGGTAGCAGTAGTTAGGGGCTGACCAAACTGTTACCAGCTTCTCATCAAACATGAATTTGTACCCTGAAAAATAAATGAAGAACCCTGCATCACAAAAACAATAAAAGTCAGAAATAAATGAAGAAAAAAAAGAAGGTAAGAAAGAAAGAAACATTAGATGTATGAAATACCAGAAAATACTTTATCATTCAATTTCATAATAACAACTGTTGCAATATTACATTTTACCACATTTTTTACAAAAGCCTACGACATAACCAAATTTCAGAAATAAATGGAATTGTTATGCCCCCCCCCTCCCCCCCCAGACTCACACCAAAGCCTTACCATCATGGACCAACTGGTGAGCCCTACAGATAAGTCTCAGGCCATTGATGTGGACAAACTGTAATGAAATGAAAGGAATTAAAGGTATACTGCCCATGCTTGAAAAACTTCCCTAAAATCATATTTTCTGTGTCTCTATATATATATATACTGCAAAGTCACTTTTCTTTCCCTATTCTGACCTTCAAAACAATAAAAAAATCCTCAAATAAAAGAACTAGATATTGATATTTCTTCTAACACTTCTAAGAGACTGCCCATTCATTCAAAACTTAATTTAAAAAAATGAAACATTGATTACTGTGAAGTAAAGGATGGGCAGACCCACGCCTTGTGAGTAAGAAATAAATTGTTTTTTCAAAGGAAACTGAATTTGGTAAGAAAATTTCAGATATGATGCCTTTAATAAAATGAAAAGGGTTCAAAAACAAAGTCCTCTGGAAAATTCTCTCACAGACAACGGACATCTAGGACCTTGTTACTGCCCAACCTGATGATTTTCAGCTCTTAATTGTGCACTCAGGTTCTTTTATATTAATAAGTGACATGACATTCTTCTACAAAGAGCACTCTGCTGCCCTAGAGACAACTGGCTGGGTACTAATAATAATTACTGACTTACAAATATGCATCCAAGAGTACATGTACCATATCACTTAGGTGAATTTTTTATTGATATGTGCATTTGCACTCATATATATTTGGCTAAGTCAAGGTTAAAGGATAAGCAGATTGGCAGACAGAATTTAAATCCAGTTGTACAGAATGCCTAACTTTAAGTTTAAAACAGCCTAAAACCGCAGTTTTATTTATTTTTTTTTGGATATAAGACAATAGGACTGAAATATGAATAAATGGTTATATGATTTGTGATATAGCATTTCTATGTTCTTATATCTAAAACTTTCATATATATATATATTTGATCTTCAATTGTAACACACATTAGGACAATATTTTGAAAAATCAAAATCTTTAGTACAAGCACTGATAAGTCCATATTTTTGTACACAAACAAAAACACACACAAGAATAATGGCTTCCATTGTTGAAAACAAGGCAGCAAAGCTGACAAATGTACAGACAAAAAACAGAAAATAAAGATGCAAAAAAGGTCATTTTGTCAATTTTGATGCAATAATAAATAATGCTTAAAAAAGCACTGTCTGTCAACACTGAATTTTAATCATGCACAACAGGTAACATGGTCAATAACAGGAGCGGACCCTGAGATATTTTCTGACAGTATTCCAAAGTATCTATTTTGATCCATCCTCCATTTTGATGGTCTTCCAACAGAAAAAAATAGATACCAGTCAATATAAACTTAATAACCTGTCTTCCAGAAGACCCAGAAGATGGTCTCAACCCACCCCTTCAATAAGGTTACAGTTTCAGGACCATGAGAGTTCAAATTCACATGATGAAAGTCTCAATATTTGAAAAATGATGACAGTGCATAAAATAATATTACATAAGTAACATAATGTTTAAAGACATAAAAAACAATACAACTGCTTATGTGGAAATAGAGAAATGTCAGAGCCTCAGGCGGATGAGAGGTAAAAGTCACAAATGCAAGTGCTTGAGAAAAAATTATAAAGGAAAACATAACAAAACTAGAAAAGCGCTCCGAGAGTGCAGACCTCTGCCAAGGCAGAAATTGTTGATTATTATTGATTATTGTACTCTTTGGCCCACTTCTGACAGTTCCTGAACATTTCAGCAAAATTGGTCCATAACTTTTTGAGTTATGTTGATGACAGACAAACAGGGGTGAAAATATAACCTCCTTGGCAGAGGTAAATATAATTCCAATGAAGCTGTAAAGCTGCTATTCAAACTTTTAATCTTTGAGTTTGATATATATATATATATATATATATATATATATATTAAAAACTTATTTGCAATATTAAACAAAATGTACCTGCATAATTATCACTGCTTTCTTATTATTAATCTAGCAGAGAGCTTAACCTTTGGGAGTTTACAGGGAAATATCAACAAGTGTGCTTTATGTAATCTCATTTAATGGCCTATTAATTAGGCAAATAAGTTTATAACACTGAAATTAGCTAAGTGATACCCAAGGGAAATTTACAGACTGACCCTCTCAAAG